AATTGAAAATGTGAATGAAGGCAAGCCATGGGCACGTGCTGCATAAATCTGATTTAATTATTAGTTAATGGATAAACGATAAACATTCATTGAGTTTCTATTGGTAAGATACAAAATATTTAGAAGCGAGAATTTTGAATAATTGTTAGTTTGGACTTTTTGAAATGAATATCAAAGTACTTACTTGTTTTACGTTTAAATAGATGCGGCATGTAGGCTGATGTGTGCGAGAAATACCCGAAGCTATTTATTAAAATGACTAATCTTTACATATTCTACTATATCTATTCAATCGTCACGAAATTGCGTTCGTTCCAATGCAATGCTCAAATGATTGCGGAATGCAGTTTGTCCCAAACGACTCAAAAAATGTTACCGATACGATCTTTTAAGTTTTGGTAAACTTAATGCACTACAAACATATTTCTATTCCGTATATTTCTTATCCGTAACGATAGGAAGTGGGAGGAGAGTCTGTTAACAGCAAAGAACAAATCTGTTAACAGCGCCTCTTACGGTTACAGTCCTGTTGTAAAAATGCGCCTCTGTTAATATCAGAGAGCTAGTCTGTTAACGGCAGAGAGTGACTCTGGTAACAGCCGATAACATCACTAACATTAACAGCAGAGTGGGGCTTACTCTATTAACAGCAGAGTGCAACTCTCACTGTTAAGAGCGCTTCCAACTTTTAGTAGTGTTGGTGTGAGGACCAGAGCTTGTGCAAAGCTGTTGCCTGTTAGCTAGACGCTTCTCCGTATGTGGGGGAGGGAGACAGAATGACTCCATACCGGGGTGTAGTTGCGTGTGTAAATCAATAAGATACAAACAGATAGTAAAATTTCTTGAGATGCCTTCTCTATTTGTTGCAGATTTGAAAGATTATTGAATTTTGTTAAATTTGTATTACACTACATTTTAAATTTTTTCTTTAGCACACGTTTTAGATTGAATATTGAGTACTCAAAGTAAGAAGCACACAACAGCTTCAGTGCAAATCAACTTATGATTATTTTATTTTCATTTAAAATTGTATTTACTGAATTCGTGCTCGAGGCAATTGCAAGCTATAAATTGACTTATGCGTTAGAGAAAGCAATTTATTTATTATTCCTTTATTGGCTCGCAGCAAAGCTCGAATCATGCAACATATTTTACATCAACTAACAATATTTTTAGATAAAAGGAAATTCTCCAATTTAGCTGGTCGACTAAAATAATTAAAATTTCATCAGATATCATTTATCATTTATCAATTTACCAGGTGCAAAAAATGTTTGGGCAACAAAGTGATGGACAAACACACACACACACATGCACAAATGTATATAAACATTGGCTACATGGTCAATATATGTATGTATATAACAAATTATAGGAAATGTTCAAATTTTTCAATCAACGACTATTAATTTGCAAATGCTACCGCTACAGCAAGCTGAAAAAAACTTTGCCATCAATAAAAAATGTTGCACCTGAGTCTGGCCAAAACAAAAATTCGAGCAATGCAAATCAACAAAAATGTTGTAAACAATTTCGAATAGCTTTGCATTTTTTATTATTTTCTTTTGCATACTGCATTTAAATGCAAAGAAAAAATGGAAATTAAACCAAAAAAAAGAAAAGAAAAATAAAAAATAATTTGTTTTCCCAAAAAGTATTGGAAATCAATTATTCATGCACTTTTAGAGCGGTCAAAAATGTAATTAATATGTAAGAGTCGTCTGTCTTTTGTCTGTCGGGCTCTCTGGCTGTCCGCCTGTCAAGCTAGGCATTTTTCATTAAATTTATAGACTGTCTGGGAGCACAATAAATAAAATTGCCCAAGAAATAAATAAACAAAAACTTTCCAAAAATTTGCCGGCGCGCTAAAAAATTAAAATCAAGCCACAATTGCACGGGTAACCCCCACTCGGTCTTCYCCTCCCTCTCTCTATCTTGCTCCCTATTTTTATACCCTGAACCCATTTTCAATGGGAAATCAGGGTATAATGGTTTTGCTGAAATGTATGTAACAGACAGAAGGAGTCGATTTGGCGTCTGTCTGTCCGTCCGTCCGTCCGTCCGTCTGTATGTATGAACGCGTCGATCTCAGAAGATATAAGAGTTAGAGACTTGAAATTTTTTTCCTAGGTCCGTGTATATCACGCGCATATCATTTCCTTTTATATCGATAACTACTCCCGATATTTTATTATCGATTAAAAACCTTATCGAAAGCTAGTTATTTAATTATATCTCCTACACCTTTAGAGCTAGAGCTTGCAAATTTTAAATGTAGATATTTTAATTTAATTTCGATTTTTGTTGTAATTTACCACCCACCCCTCACCTTCACCTTTGTAAAAGGCGTATTTCAAGTACTAGAGACGTGTGCTTTGGAATGTATATACATTTTTACCATATGATTACGCTCTGAAAGTTTTATGAAGATTGTACGTCTATAAATTAAATTATTCAACAAATAAATTCTTATAATGTTGCTCACACTGCAGCGCAGCCCAAGCGCAGTCGCTGCTTACTGCGCAGTTAGCAGAGAGCGTTCTAATACGTGCATGTGTATGTATGTGTGTTGAAAAGAAGTGCAGACTGATTAGAATATCAGATTAGAGGGTTCAGGGTATTTCCTAGTCGAGCAGTCTCGACTAGTCTTCTTATTTGTTATGTGTGAGTGTGTGTGTGTGTGTGTCTGTCTATGCTTCCTTGCACTGGGCACGCCTCTGCACCAAATGGTATATGCAACAATGTATTCGCCATAAATAATATTTCAACGGCATTGCGGACGCAGGTTAACTGTGTGCCAGCCTCTTCCTCTCCTTCCAGCACTCCCTTACCCCTTCCAACCACCGCTAGCTCCATTTTGCTCTATCTCCCTTTATCCCGCAGTTAGTTGCCCGTTTTTTTTGTCAGCCATGTGCAAACGTGTAAACGTTCACGTTGTGCAGCCAAAAAGTATGCCACATTTTTGCACATCATTAAATATATTTTGTGCGAGCAGGATATATAGAATTCATAGCGAAGAGGAAGCAAATTTTTATAGAATTTGCTATTATATTGACTTGGCAATGCATTTATAGATATTGCATCTAATCTAAGCACAATTTTCAGTTTCTTAATTTTGATTTAGAATTTGGCTTTTTATTTGAAAAATGTTAAGATTTATTTATCTTAATAGATAATTGTGTCTTTAATTCATCTAAAATATGAAATTTCAATTTGTATAATTTAATTTTTTATTTATTTTTGATTTGAATAGTCAGGTCCGCCTGAGGCTGACTGACTGATTATATTTATTTATTTATGTAGATTCTCGAGCTTTGTTTGTTGCTTTCTCAAGATGTAAATGTCTATGATATTTTGATATAAACAGTTTTTTAATGGAACATCTTAACAGTTCACATAATACCTATGGAGTGATATATAATAACTATCCTTTCTAGAAATATACTCATCTACAATACTACAATTATATGATACAGCTGTCTTTTTGAAAATATGTATTAGTAGTAAATAGTATTAGTTGCTAGGGCCTTAACTAGGATAACAGGAAACTTGAACACCTCTTAAAGCTTAAAATTGACAATATGTAATATAATTTTATTTGGAACCTCGCAGAGCCTCGTTATGGCCTATAATTAAACATGATTCTCTAATTTACATTGCCATGAAATGTTGAATAAAATATACACTAAATTTATATTAAATTTTATATTGAATATGCTTCAGAGTTTGCTTTGTTGCTATTAGCAACATATTTACTTCAAATCAGCTTCAAGACCTTTCATAACTAAC